AAGTGCATTACTGGACATTGCATCAACAGCTTCCTGACATTAACACAGAAATTTGCAGTCTGTTAATAGTGTCCTTGCGGTTTATTCACTTTTTGACTTCACAGCTGCACTCATAGAACAGGCAGAACAGAAATATGAGCACATTTTGAATAGGTAGAACTGTGTTTTCCAAATCTGTCTACCTAAAATGAACCAACACAAAAAGGGACACTTTCCAAAATTTCAACCTTGATTAAAAACAACACAGTAATTTAGCAGTCAGGCTGATGTGAACTAAGCTGACCTGTCAGAAATACACTGTTGGATCTTTCCAAAGTTTTACTGAATTATCTGGGTTTACTATATTCAGGATGACGAATACATTATTAAACACATGTGAATGCAGAAATGACAAAAGACAATTTTGTTCTTTCTTTTAATCCACCAGATACTATTACCACGTAAAGAAACACCAAGAACCAAGAGAAGTGCCTTGGAAACCAACAGGGAAATAGAACTTACTACCTTTATAACATATTCCATTGTGAACAAGAGATTTATTTTTGCAGATTGACAGACTACTTCCCATAATTCTTTTAACATGCATTTTGTATGTCATCAACAGTTTGCAGATTGACATTCTTTACAGTAGCATAACTGCCAGTAGTACTTAATGCTCCGTACTTAAAAACACACTTTACAACTGATGTGTTATGCTGCCAAAAATTATGTGGACACAAATACTTCACCAAGAAAATTGATGTTCTATTGCTTAATTCTACAACTTTAAGGAATGTTTGTTTGTATATCTAGAACTACTAAAGATCTGCTCCACAGTAGTTGTGGTCACTTGATATCCTTCATGCTTATGCAATTTTTTAAAAGTTTGGTTAAAACAGACTTATATTGGGGTCACATTGTACCCTAGGAGTACAAATTGCATGACAAACAGGAACGTAATTCCAAGTAGACATATTTTTTGGGACAGCGGAGCATGGGTTTTGTACACAAACACAAGCTGCCATTAATTTACTTTATATAATAAATGTATAAAACATTCCAGCGAACGTGCAATATGTAAATACTGTAAATAACAAGCATAAGTAATAAAGTGTTTGGTATTACGTTGTTCTCAGTTTGCTTTCTGTTCACTGAATCCAGATAAATATACTGTGTTCCTGTACGCTGCTAACATTTATCCATACTTAAACCTCTTTCCAGTAGGATTTGACTGGATTAAGAAAGAAAGGTATACTCACCTCAGAGAAGTCCAGTAATTTGGACACTCTCTAAGGATTTGTGAGGATGGACAGATCTGTGTCTTCCAATCCCACAGAACGCCCAGACCACAGGGCTGCTCCAAGTCTCTACAGCATTATAAATTTGGTGGGTGTTTTTTTTTTTTGTTGTTGTTGTTTTTTGTTTTTTTTTTTTTGGTAATGATAAACAGTTTTTTTGGGTTTGCTTTGGGTTGGTTTTGTCGTTCTCGTTTTGTCCCCAAAAAATCTGCAGTCTGTTCATGACACTAAAAAGCAATACTACCAGTAAATGTCCAATAAGTCATTCTAGTATCGTAAACCTCTCTTCCTTAAATCAGATATTAAATCCAGTTGTCATAATAAAATGGCTCAAACAGGAAGAACATTTTTACATGTGATCTGTAGATGAACCTCAGGTACTGTACACTGGTATTTAGCTTCCATTTTATCCTCAATTCATATCACAAAATGTAAAAACAAACCCAAACACAATCCTCCCCACCCTGAGAAATAGCTAGGAGCTGGGATTCCTGAAATTCCCACTGAAGAGCCTTCAGTGTAACAGCAGAAGTGCAAAACCCCATCCTAGAACATGGCTGTGTTTTATAAGGGAGAAGTACACATTTTGTATTTGCTTTCAGTGATCACTAAATGCTAAAGTTTCACTTCTCAATGGAAGTAATACATGCATACCGAAAAAAATGGTAGTTAAAGGAATCTGCTGCTACAGGATTCACTGTCTGCTCGTCTGCAGTAAATGCAGCTGGAACTCTCTGCTCCTCTGTGCCTCCACTGGCTGAGATCTGCTCACACCATACTACTTAACATGGGAGTTTAAATTAATATAAACTTTTTTTTTTTGTAGTGGGGCACCTGAAAGCTGGTTAAATAAAAAAAAAATATAGAAAATGTCACTGTAAAAGAAAAACAGTAATTATTTACTATCTTCACCATGAGAGTGGTGAGACCCTGGAATGGGTTGCCCAGGGAGGTGGTTGAGGCTCCATCCCTGGGGGTCTTTAAGGCCAGGCTGGATGAGGCTCTGGGCAGCCTGACCTAGTGGGAGGTGTCCCTGCTCATGGCAGAGGGGTTGGAACTGGGGGATACCTTGTGGGCCCTTCCAACCCTGACAGATTCTGATCTCTTTTGGCAGAGGACTTTGGAGCCCTGGTGGCTCGGTGGTTGGACTTGATGATCTTGGAGGTCCCTTCCAACCTAAATGATTCTATGATTCTATAACTTAGTAAACAAATAACTTAATCCCGTGGGAGTTCTCTAGTTTAGCAGAAGTCAGCATGCTTTGAAAGAAGATAGAACTACACTATAGAAGACTTCTTTTACTTAGTCTTCTGTATAAGCTTATTACCTAAACTAAAACAAGCTGTGAATGGGGAGAAGGGAAAGGGGAGTTACTTGTGCATTTTTGTATTCAACACAACAGTTTTCATGACTGCTATTTTAAAGCTGTAAGAGTTTAGTCACCTGTATGACACATGATTTGCAGGTTAATCCTATGTTCACTGTTTCTCTTGGAACCCAAATGACTTCTCCTTCTTGAAGGCAATTCCTGTTCCTGTATTCTACAGTCTTTTAAAATACCATGGTGCTCTCCTTCCCTTCCTCCAAAAGAAACCCACAAAGGATAAAAATCAATCCATCAGCTTGCCCCTTCTAGTAGAGCTAGTCAATTATTCAGCCAGTAGAATACTTGCTGAAAATATACCTCAATGATGAAGTTTTTAAAATCTGAACTGGATTTAACACAAATAGTTTTGACTGAGGATCACTTGACAAGAAGATTCCTAAGCCTGCTGAAGGTAAACAACCATACCCTTTATCTCTTGGCAGCCCAAAAGAAAAGATTTAAGACTTCAATATAGGAAACTAACTATAGGTTCAATTCCTACCTAGCCACAAATGGGAAAGCACAAACCATCATGTTCTCAATCTCCTGAGTTATTTTACTTTCACTGAATATTTTAAATGGTCATTCTGGCAGAGAATAACATTAAATTATGCCTAAATACTTCCACTTCTGAGGTTACTGCATAAAACCACATTTAAGATGTTTTGTCCCTAACTGCTCATCACTTGCCTCATTTATTGTGTCAAGAGAAGAAACAGAAAATAATTCTTTCCAGTCAGTGCTGGATCTGACCTGAAATAGTAGTACTTTTTGTCCCTGAAGTGAAACAGCTATTAACTTGCAAATTCCTACCTTCTTCTTTGCACGTCAGGAGTATAAGCAATGCACTAATGCACAAGGATCCCGATTACTGCATTAAGTGTTCCATCTACCACTTGCCTTTTTGTTAGCAAGTTCTTAAGTTTTATGTCCCATTGAAATTTTAGCACAAACCAGAAACCTAACACAAACAGAGCTGTTTTACAACAGGAGTCCCAGGAAGCCCAATCCCCATGGTGCAGGCTGCAGCACACAGAGTGACACCAGGACTCCTCCTTCCTCTGTCCAGGGTAACAGGGTCCTCTGTCGAAATGCAGCCTTGCTCCCAGGAGGCAGAGGGGCTGACAAATACAGAAGCTACTCTACTAGTCTGGAAGGCAGACAGAGGCAAAACCAAGGCTAAATAAATAAGAAAGCAAGTCTTACAGATCTAGTTTTACAGATAATGTGGTAATGCTAGTTCATACCTGTGTTGGTATTGTGCAGAACAGGAAGATTACCATGGTATCAGTTACATTACTGATCTCAGTACGTTTACGTTTAAGGCAGAAATGAAAGGTGATGTTCAGACAAACCGGTGTGGATTCTCACAAAGCATTCCCTTTCTGTCCAGGAGCAGAACTTTCTGCTTACTGGCCTTCTGTTAACTTTGTATTACATTACAGATGGACTGTCTTCAGGTTGAACTATACTCTCAGAGAACACTTTTGACAGGCTATCCATTCTTCTGAGTAAATCTCAAAATATTGCCTGACACTCACATAGCAACTGGGGTTACAGCAAATTTCTCATCAGTTACATTGCACGGACTTGAGTATTTTACTACTATTGAGACACAAAATGTACATTTCACATTTAGGCTTTTAAAAAGCTGACCTGTTTTGTCCTCAAAGTAAATGTTGTGTGACATGTACTTGTATCAGTGTGCTAATAATTGACCACAAGACCAAAGGAAGACTAGCCGAAGAAGTCCTGTTAGCATCAACCACTATTTCTGAACAAGTTATCTTAATTAATATAAAAAAAATGTATTACAACAAAAATTATTTCTTCTCCAAATAACTGAGCATTTGAACTGATAAACTCCCATTCTTACAAGATCATGATGACATACACAGAGGTTTTGCTTGCTTATCTTTGAAGTAATGTTATGAGCAATATCCGTCTGGGAGCAGGCTGTTTTTCAGTGGAGGGCTCACTGTGACATACCTCCAGTCCAAAGGCTGTCTAATGATACTGGGACGACACAACTAAGTTATCTTACATGAACTATTATCTTGTAGACTCCCACTGAAAGTGGATTTAAATTAGCTTACTAAGGGCATAACAAGATCTCAGTTTAGTTGGTATAGCAGGTAAAGAAGCAAGACATTACTTTTGCAGTGCTCGTGAGAAAGCACTGGAAGAGTTTACAGATAAATTTATTCTGAATGATATACTTTATTATTACATTGATGTGTGACAAAATGGCTGGTAATCTAACCCAATTAAAACTTTAGTCAGTTTTTTAAGTAGTGATAGAAGAGCTAATATGTAAAATTAAACTTAGTTTTTGTAATATTATGCCTCAGTAGGTTCAATTTAAATACATCAATCTAGTAAATCTTATACGTTTCAGGAGAAGGTAATTGCTTTTTTAGAAATAAAAATGATGAAGCATTAATGAGACTTCTCCAAAAATGCTTTACAGCATCTTACACACTGCTCGTAAACAGTTTCAAAGTCCTTTTCATTTCCCTGGAAAAGAAAAGAGTAAAAAAAAAATGTAAGAATAGCAATACTGGCACAAACAAAAAATTGCAATCTAGTCTCCCACTGGACATAATGACAAATAACTGACATTATGGGAACAATAAGAACAGTACAAATACTTGGTGATAGGTTTTACCTATTTCTTCTTAATCTGAACTACCTGCAGCTCAGGAATTTCCACAGCTAAACACTGACTTTGTACTCAACAGTCCTGGATGCACTTGCCTTCACATATTTCTTCCATTCGCTGTTTCAGCCTTTAAAAGCCTTTTTTTTCCCCCCTTTACATTCACAGTAAACGTTCAAATAAATATCTTTGAGTCTCTCAGTTTAATGAAGCACTGAGTGGAAAAAAGCCAACCACCTCTTTCTGTTCTGAACCCACTTCTCACTAATGCCATTTTACCTTCTCTGCTTCTTGGCTCATGAATAGCAATTCCTTATTCACTTTTTCCTGTATCAAGACATTATAGAATTCCACTGTATCTTCATCCCCTTCCATTTCCTAAACTAAAGAAACTTAATCTAATTGCTCTTGGCTGATATTAGGCTTCTTTGATCATCTCTGTCCATGTCTACCTTTCCTGATTCCATCCTCTTTGCAAGTGCACTACAGATGCACTGTATTATTTAAATTTAAATAGTAGTTATAAGCATAAGGATACATTTTTCTTTGCTAGCCCAGTAATTTATTATAATAATAATGTTTATAATATTTTTTTAAAAATACATTTACACTTGGCTTTGTGAAACATCAGATTATATGGAACATGTCAGCTGTGGGATCTGGAAAGATTATATACTATACGTATACAATTTTTAATCAAGCCACTCTAAAAATTTCGTATACATACATAGTATGGATCTTCAATGATAAGTTGTTTCTGTGGATCATATGTACCAAGTAGTTCAATCTTGGCCTTGCAGTCATTAACTTGGTTGCTTTTCCTTTTCAGATCTCTGTAAAAGAGAAAAAAAAATATTCCCCTTCAGTTTTTCTTCAGAACTTCTTTGGCATCAGCATGAGATGGTTGTGAACCTTTCTAGAGAACACAGGATAATGATAAGCCTCTGGATCTTGATCAAGACAGTACATCCTCATTCCTAACTACACAGGCATCAGCTGCACATCTGTGGCACACGTATAGTAAATTTCCATGTCCTTAATCCTTGCATGAAAACAGGTTGCCCGGAGAGGTGGTAGACACCCCATCCCTGGAAATATTTAAAGTCAAGTTGGCCAGGGCTTCAATCAACCTGATCTAGTTGAAGATGTCTCTGCTCACTGCAGGGGGGTTGGACTAGATGAGCTTTAAAGATCCCTTCCAACCCAAACCATTCTATGCTTCTATGTATCAGTCAAACCTTTGAGTTCCAGCTCATTAAACTTATCAGAAGTGAAAAATTCATCTGTTAGGTTATCATTCACATAAAGGAAAAAAAGAACAGACAGACTAAGCAGTAAAATATGACACCTGTCTTCAAAGTGACTTATAAGACAATACTATAAGTAATCTGTATGAATTTGTTCCACTTCATCATACATTACCTTAGATTGCTCTCATCCATACAAAGTATATAATCAAAGGTCTGGAAATCATCTTTTGTAATCTAGAAGTAAAAATACACACTTTAGGCTACAAACTAACATTTGATTTATAAAAAGGGGAGAAAGTATTTTCAAATTTTGTAGTTCTGATTTATTAAGAGACACCTGTGGAAAGAATAAAACTGTGTACCTTCATCAACTTTTACAATAACTTATGGCATTTTAAAATATACTGTACTATGATTATCAATTTCTGCAAGTTTTCCACTAAGAAAAGTGATCTACTTTACCAGTATTATTTTTTTTTTTTTTTTTTAAAAATCCCATGCATCAAGTTAGAACATCATTTCAAGTAACATTTCTAATGCTTTCCAATTACCCCAACTAAAGCAGATTTCCAATCATGGAAAAATTTAGACAAATTACTTTCTTGATAGGAAAACAAATGTAGGTAACCAGCAATCAGTTGTAATACCTCCAATGAAGAAATTTCTTACTACAAAGAAAAAGATACCAAAAGCTACCAAAATTCAGAACTGAAGTACGATGGTATGAGTTATAATATCTTAAAAACAAATGCATTCACAGTATTTTAAGTCATATAATTACACAAAATTTATGGAATGATGTGAAAAAATCTGGGATCTATTGTACACCTTCCTACCATCACACCATCTGCTTTTTTCCTTCCTGTAATTTACTGACTCCTGAACATGAGCAGTGACTAAATGCAGAGGTTTGAGCTCAGAGTCAGGTAGGCAAGCACTGCAGATACACCAATAACTTAAGGACTGCATTGGAATAAGGATGGCTGCAGATTTTCATCAGCATAATTCTATTTTAGCTTACATTTAAGCCTTAGTTTAGGGTAAAATCTTCTCAGACCATGCCCACTGTGCACAGTAGGCCAGTGTAGAATATCTGAACCAAGTATCTGTAAGGAGGACGAGTAAATGGGATAAATCTCTAAGGAGCTCACATTAAGACTGCACTTCATGCACAGTCGTACATGTAGTATCATAACCTAGAAACAAGTGAAAACACAAAAAGGCAAAACACATTATCCTATAGGTCTGAGTTTTAACTTGCAAAAATTACTTGCATATTAAAGGAAGTTTTAGACGGTCAAAAATCCAATTGGTTTTTGTGCAAACAACAAGTAAGTACCGATTAAGCTCCCATAACAGGAATTAAGGAAAGACCCACAGAAATTATCACCAGACTAAAGCCATAAATTAAACACTCCGCATAAGGAGAAGTGAAGGGATGGGGGACCAGTTGTAAAGAAGGGGTTACTGGTGAAAACTAATGCAGACTTGTTTATTTTCACTGTAAAAATATTTGCTGTATTCATGCAGTGCCTTTGACCTACACAAATATTTTTGCAGTGGAAATAGCTCTGTTTTCCTGGCAACTCTAAGCAGTACCTCTACAAGCTTCTCCTGATTGCTGTACACAGCTAAACACTGGCCCCTGTGAAAATAGGTGGGCACAGATTTCATTGTAGTGCAACAGAACTATGCTAGACTAAAGGGAAAAGGGAAAAACACACCTGCCACACTTCCCACAATCTCTGTATACTTGATAACCTGACAATTACTACCCTGTGAATCAGCATGAACAGTTGCAAATGTAGCCGTAAACCTGAAATCACTGGTTGTCTTGTGCTCTTAAGCCCTACAGTGATATCAGAACAAAAAAGCTTAACTGAGCAAACTCCAACTAAAAATATTCCTCAAAATTATGAAAACTAGTATTTTGGGGGAAGAAACTGAGGACGTAAAAACTGATGTGTGTTTTGAGAAGAGTAGTGGAGAGCTAAGTAGTCAGCTTTGGATGGAACTACACAGAGTAACTTTACATTTAAAAAATGCATATAAACATTACTAAAGACCGTCAATGGAGAAATAAATCATCATTCCAATTTATTTGTTAAACATTTCCCTTTGTTTACAGAAGGGAAATCTCCTTTTCTCTGTTTAAACACCAAAGAGAGGCAGCAGTCCTTAAATTTATCCAGTTGTGAAACTGTTTAATACAACCTTCCTCTAATCTCAATTTCTTATTTAAGGCAAATGCACAGTATGAGTCATACAGAAATCAATTTTGGCCTCAGCATGAAAAAAAGTGAAACTGATTAATACCTATCTGGTTTGTGCATGAAGACCAAGAGCTAAGAGAATTTCAATGGGTGCATAAACATACAGCAACCTACCATCAATTGAAATGTTAAACTATTTTATATATACTTTTTTTTATACTTTTCACTTAAAAGTTCACTTAATCGCTCTGTACAATGGTAGGATGTAACCAATTTAACATTCTCTTTTACAGAAATCATTCTTGTAGCACTTGTGTCAGGTTTGAATAAAAAAAAAGATACAGTACATGATTATCATAATTATGCACAAAATTACATGTAAGAAAGTGCCTTTCACTGGGTGGGTAACAGTTTTCCACAGGACTGAAGAGGATAATTGCATGAGGTAGTCATCTTATGACAGTATTTCAAAGGCAACAGAAGATAAATCAGTCCAATTTCTGCAGCTTCTGTATTAAATCTTTCTTAATCCATTCTGAAACGAGTCACACACAAAATTCTATCCTTGAGTTTGTCTCTGATAGTGAAACAAATACACTCCCACTTGTACTAACCTTATCCCTCTGAGAAGTCCTAGTCTGCACAGTTCAGTCCCTCTCTTTCCAGAAGTACATTAGACTACATGAGGTCCACAATTTAGAAAATCAGCAGAGACCATCTGGCAGAAGTCTGGAACAAATATTGGTGCTACACAGCTACCATTAGTGCAAAACAAACAGTTGCCTGCAGTTCAGGGATTTGAAAACTTTATCCATAAAAGAACGTGTTTCTACTAAGATATTTTAGACAAATTTTCCTCTTGTTAGTCTTTAATTTCATTCTCTTGTTCTCATTCATTTTCTCTCCCTGTGTATGTAACATTTTAGTTACTTCTGCTTTAAAAAAAGAGCTTTAATTTTCCAGAATGCATAAGGAAAAGTCTTCATTAAAGTGTTTTCATTCCCACTCTGCCAAAGAAGGATAAATAGCTTTGTTTCCAGCCAGAGGATCAACTGGTTTGGGATGCTTTGCTTTAGTTTAAGTACTCATAAACCACTCCAGTAATACCCAAGAACACTTCTCAAGTTTCCAAGGCTTATCTTTTAGGAATACAAACATGTTACACTACTGACACAGGAAAAGATCACAACAGACTTTTCCAATAATTATTCTAACAGTAAAACATTGAAAATCTGAAATAATGTTATGCTCAATCCTCCTTGTGCTGTTATATCATGGAGATTAGCATCAGGAGAGATCAGCAGAGGGCAATTGACTAATTGAGGGAATTTACTTTAAAAAGTTAAAAAACTAAACATGTAGTCTTTGAAAGTGAAGAAATTAAATGTGACCTCAGTAAGGCCTAGTAAAATTCTGAAGGGAACAGAAATGAAAGATAATACAAGACTGCTTGATCTTTTTGTCAGTACAAGAACCAGTGGTATAAACTCCAGCTAAGTCAAGGTGAAGCACTGAAGGAATATCTTATATCCAGAGAGTAGTTAATTTAAGTAAGTTATGTGCACTTGTTTGAGTGTCTGAATGATTAAAATAGATGCAGTCATATTTATTTCCGATCTCTCTGGAATAGCATGGAAATACATGTTCTTTTGTTAATGAAAACTGAGATGAGCTTTGATACTACTCAGACAATTTCACTAAGTGACAAACCTGTTTTTGACTTCAGAATGTTTCAAGGGCATGTTTTCCTCTGAAGTTATCACCGGCTCTGCTACTGATCTTGGGTTTGAGTGTCTTCATTCTAATGTAGCACTCTAAATGGTTCTTTAAAAGACCATCATGCAAGAGCAGAAGTTTTTTGTGATGTGTGAACAGGTATTTGAAATGCTGGGGTCTGAACCCCAAGCCCCCGAATTAAGGTTGACATCTGGGTGATTCCTACAGCCCTTCATAAAGAGGTGGTGAGTTTGCCTTATAGCTTCCCCCCAGGGTGCGGCCGGCCCTGCAGGGAGAGCCAGAAGGGAAATGAGCCCCAGGGGTCCTGCATTGAGTTGACAAAGGTCAGGGGTCTGCTTGGGGATAAAAGCTGGGACCACTTGCAGGGAGTCAGGAGTGTCTGTCTGTGGAGTGCACTCCACAGAGCTTCCTGGTTCAGGGCAGCCCTCCTGACTCTCCCTGGAGCTGGGCCCCAGTCTGCTCAAGACCTTTGCGAATGCGGGCCGATCGGGTGAGAGTCACTATGTGGGCACCTTTCTCTTACGTGTTCAGCTTGCTGGTCTGGCTGTTTCCCATGCCAACTGTGGGCAACCTCGGGTCTCTGCTTGTACCACCTGTTGTGGGCCGAGTTACGTCCTTTGTGAGATCGTTGGGGGTGGTGTCAATTATGTACCAGCTGATTGATCTGTTTGTGCCCCCAGTGATCGTTCACGCAATGTCCTTCTTGTCTACAATACAGTCTGTGTATTGGATGCTCTTTCTGCTGGTGCTATCATTTTTGTTGGGCCTGGTCATTGGCAGAACAGTATTCTACTTCTTTTTTGGACCTGCTAAATAAAACCACAATTCCTTGCTGAAAGAAGCATTACAGATTACTAGAGTAAGTCCAGTTTTAAAAAGCATTAGAAAATGTTTTGCAAAAAAGCCCAAAATACTAAGCATTTGAAGGCAGGATTTTTCTACAATGCAAAAAATGCTCCAGTGCCATGAAGCTTAATAACCAGAAAAACACTAACCTCCACTACACAACTTGCCTGGCTTTGGAGTCCTTTGATAAACTGCACACAGGATTTATTACTTGATGCTTAACCATGCACTGGTCAAATGACTTTTGTGATTGTAATGGTTAGGGCCAAACAAAGCATGGGTACGAGTAAGAAAGAAAATATACACTCTTCTACCTGCCGTGCTCTATGTGCTGTCTCAATGCCATGATTTCTTAAACAGCTTAAAGCCCTTGCATCTGGGGAGCGCCCCACATTCCAGTCTGAAACAGCAGCACTGTCTGTCATCCACTGTAACAACAAAACAAATAAATACATGTATTTAAAGAAAAGGAAAGTACAGTACCTGCCTGGCAATATGATTCATGGTAATGCCATGCTTCTTCATGCAAGCCTGTCCTCGATAGTCAGGAGGGCTTCCTATTTCATAGGCTGATGTTGCTGCACTGTCTATCCTCCACTACAGAAAAACAAATTTACATTTTTATGTTTTCTTTCTCACCACTAATATTTCTACGAACTGGCTACAAGACAGTTATTTCTTAGGCAGGAGGAGAAATAAATAGCTTACCTTATTTTCAACTTTTTCATCAGTTACAAGTTTTCTAAAAACTGCTTCAGCTATTGGAGAGCGACAAATGTTTCCTATAGAAATAGGAGACTGAAGTGAAATTTTGGACAATTAAAAAAAATCAATAACTGCGTAGATCTGTCAGCACAGATCAGATTTTGTTTAGGTAGAATGCAGACTGTTCATGTTGTTACAACTCAAGAGACTGTGCACCCGGTCAGGGACACTCTCCAGTATCAGCACAGCCCGTGGGATGAAGGGACCGTGGTGCTATGGAGGACGTGGGGGTCCTGGCAGATTAAAAGCTCAACATGAGCCAGCAGCGTGCACGTGCAGCCCAGGCGGCCAGTCGAACCCTGGGCTGCATCAAAAGAAGCGTGGCCAGCAGGTCCAGGGAGGTGATTCTCCCCCTCTGCTCCACTCTGGTGAGACCGGAGCCCTCAGCACAAGAAAGACATGGACCTCTTGGAATGAGTCCAGGAGGGCCTCAAAAATGGTCAGAGGGCTGGAACACTTCTGAGTGAGCATGGAGAAGAGAATTACTGGGGAGATCTTACATATTAATAACGTATCTATATATAATGGGGGCTGCAGTGACAGGATATGAGGCAACGGTTTTAAACTGAAGGAGGGTAGTAACGTCTCAACAAGAATAAAAAGTCTACTCAACTATTACTGCAGCTCTTTCTACCTTTTCATCCTTCAGAAATTGGGAGTAACTAGATGGATAGTCAGACTATTTGATACATAACCCAGATGCACAATAAATCATACAAACAAATAATACAAACAAATCCTCACTTCCCATTAAAGAGAATGTATGACTTTGCCCATCTCTGACTTTTGAGTCCATAAACATAAAATATCACAAATGACAACAGTTGTTTCCACACCCTTAAATAAATCACTCTCCTACTGATTAAATTCTTGCCAAATCTCAAACAGTAAAAAAAGTGTAACACCCATAAACAAAGCTAAATTATGCAATTTTCAGACCAGGCACTTAACCTCATTTTTATGTTTGCATTTTCAGAATATTAAGGTAGACACTTCACTGCTACAATTTGGGCATTTAACAACCTGCTGTCAATCATACCAGCTATAAAAACAAACAAAACATAGTAACATACAGCATAAGACAGAAAAGAACCTTCATAATCAATAAGCCAAATCCTTTGATACTGCAGGCATACACAGCATTGCTTCTTTTACAAACACATCAAGCTCTCTATTAAAAAGTATCATCTGTCTTAAAAGGCTACTCCTGATACTCATTTCCTGTGGTAGCCTGAAACTTTCCAATTCCCACTCAATATTTATTCTTGTAAGTCTATGCTCTGTGCTTGGTTAACATCACTACCTTAAAAACCTTTCTTTCCTTCAACAGATGCAGAACCCTTGTCAAGCATAGCTGTGCTAAACTAAACAAACCAAGCCCTTGGTCTCCTCAAGAAATTAAATGACCCTTATCTAATCACTCCAGTTAAGCCAACTCTGCACTCATTCTAATTTGAATTTATTTTTCTTGAATACTGACAAAAAAAAACACCATAGACTAAAATAACGGAAAAGTTTTTACTGATTTATTTTATAAAGGAAAAAAGAAAGTCTGAAATATTTACTTAGCTCTTCTGAAAATAATCTCAGATAACTTCCTATAATCACATGCGATTCCTTCAGGAGTATCAAATTTGTGATAATAATCCCCTACTCCTAATTAATCCACTCCTCCTCTTTCTCTATAGCTTCAAACAGGTGACCTTTAAGTCTTCTGTCTAAACTAAAATTCTGTTTCCATTACACCAGCTGTTGACCCCTCCACATCTTCCTGTAGAATATTTTCCCTCTGTATGAATGATCCCACGCAACTGTGCATAAACACTAAGTTTCATTACTACACTCAAAATTTGAGTAATAAACATTGATTAATATTACTGATCCTACTAGCTCCTTACCTAGCTGACAGAATTTCAAGATGGTACTTTTGGTATAAATCCATCATGGCTTTTTCTATTTGTTTAACCTTCTGCTTTACCTGGATTGAATGACTTGTTCCAATTTTTCACTCTTCTATAGCCTGGTCACTACTTAAATTAAATGCCATAAATCAAATATCATCATGAATGGCACTGTGATCACCAACTGATCAAATATATCCATTACCACATCTAGCAATAACAAGACACCGCAGTTATATTATTGCAAAACATACACATAACCTAGTTTGTGACTTAAAAATTAATGTCTCCCATGCTGCCACTCTCCAGACATTACCAGAAGTATTAACACTATTGTGGAACTGCAATCGCTATTCAAATCTGTTCTTGGGGACTATGGACAGAATCCCAGAACTGATTTAACAAAAGTTCGTTTCACCATATATTTTGCTGTATTATTTTAATCCTACCCAAATGTTTACTCAGGCTACCCCTTGTGACTGTTATCGTTCATCCCATCATTAATGTAAAGCCCTTTCTTATCTCACTGCAAACTTATCTCATATGCAAACTTCAATCCTCATTTTCCAGTCAGCATCTCTTTCCCACTCTAATTTCTACCTACTTCAAATCCAGTTTTACATCCCTCATCTCTTTCCAGGATTTGTTAAGGACCTTCACAGATGCACATCATTTCCTAAGTTATGGAACGACAGCTGTAATTGGCGCGTGAAAGGAAAAATCCCACAAAAAGATTCCAAAGGAGCTGACCTTCCTTCTTAGAGTTGAACCATATCTCCCTTAAATCTTATCTACACCTTATCGTTGTTACCTCCCTGCCTCTGGTGTTTCTTTCACCTTTCTCATGTTTCTGACTGACCTGATGATTCTCTTTTTATATAGAAGTTAAGAGTATTAAAGTATCCCGAATCTCCAACTTCTCCCTTCATTTTTAAAATTCAAACTCTGTTAAGTTGTAGCTTTCAATCACAGGAAACTAGTAACCATGGCAACCAGACAGTCTGCCCATTGAAATAAACCCTACAAACATCTCCAAATATTATGAGAGTTAAGATAAGAGTTAAATTTCAATCACAGAATCAGTGCTGGAACCATTTGATGATCACTTTTACAGAGTTATGCTTTCTCACTCATTTCCTAGAAACAAGGACTCTGATGATAGTTATCCAAGCCAATGCCTAATTTTTTTACTCCAGTCTCTGCTTTATTCTTTGATCCATTCCCACACAGAAATGGAAGTTTTGCTTCTACTGACAGCACATACAATTTGAATTCTCTTCATGCTCAAGTCCATATCTGATCTCTAAGTTGATCTGTTGATGTAATTATCTATTCTCTCTATTGGTTTTGTATCTTCCTTGTTCCTTATTCTGCTCTCTAACTCTTTCAGACCTTCCCCAAATGCAAATACTTTTCTTCCTTTTTTCCTCTCTGCAGTTTGTAACAGCAGTTTTACTATCTTTCTACCTCTCACATTAAAAAAAACCTGCTTTTAACTCATCTCTCCATGCATGGTCAGTTCATCTTAGTGCCTGTGATGCTTCCCAGTATCATTTCCATCATCCATCAGGACTCCCTCATAAGTAAGCACTTAGAACTTGCTACTCACTCCATTCCATTCTATACTCAAATTCCTGTCTGAACTTCATAACGAGTCCTAGCTCTTTCCAGTTAAGTCCATCTTGTCACACTCAGCATTCAGTTAGTTTTGTAAGGAACAATTCTAGCCTCTGACTTTAGTTCAGACACCCTGGCCTTTCCATTCACAGTCAGTTTCATTGAATACCTATACTTTTTATCTGAAGCACACCACTATATGGTTACCTACGTGACACAATCCTCCCACTGTACAGTGGGATTTCTCTCAGAAGTCAAATATTACAATATGTGTGTGTGCATACATACATGATGTAAGCAGACACACTTTGGGCTCAAGATATCTCAATGGGGATGTCTATAGGAGCACCAAGTTTCAAAGTCCTTAGCCAATCAAGGCTTAGTTGCTGTGATGAAGGTCAACAGCAATATGACTTGCCAGGATTCAGTGTAGTCAAGCCATCAGCTAATTAGCTGAATAGTCACATTTTAAAAATCTTTCCCTGCAGTAAGATTAATTACACTGAGCTATGAAGTACTGGAACATTATGCTCTTCTCAGCAATCTAAAGGCTCCCTGGTAAAAATAAAAGTTTTCAACACAAAAGCAACCACTCACGACAATCAGATTCTTTAACATTTTTAAGCATACACCTTAATATTGTTTTCCAATTCCAAGACTGTTTTTACAACCATGCTTTCAACCCTCTCGCATTTCTGCATCACTCTGAAGCACAGATTAAATAAATCATTGTATTCTTACAGCTATCTCACCAATGCTGTGGAGAAGAAAGGTATCTTCCTTAGATTTATCTAACAATCTCTTCTTTATCAAAAAAAATGAGTTATTTTTGTCAGCTTGCTGAGAATGCTCATTACTGCAGCTCTTTTCCACAACCTCTCCAGTGTCTTATCCAACCTACTGCTGTCCCATTCTGCAGCTCTAACTGCCATTTGGTCCCATGAAACCTTGTACTTGGCTACACCTGAATGCATATAATGGATTGTAACAACTAAATTAGGAAACTCAAATCTCTCTTAACTGTAACCTAATTTCCTCCTGCCACATTAATTATAATTTTAGAAATTATTTTATGTAGTCTGGATCTCTGATGGCAATACTCATACTTAATGGTTAACAGCAAGCATCAGTTTTCTGAGGATCCAGTGCAAACCACTTTGCTTACTCTCCACCTGCCTGACTACGGTTCCTCCACGCACGGAGTAGCTCAGCCAGCCAGCACCTGGCCTATGAACTCCCTGAAGCTTTTTTATGCTACAGTGTACAAGTCACCCGAGAGAAGGAGGCTGATTTTGTAACACAGCATCATATTAGGATCATTTCTGGAGCTCAGGCATTAATTAAATGGGCTACATAAGTGTAAGAAAAGCAAACTGCATTTTGGCTCACCTTCAGTTTTAATTCTTTGCCTTAAATGGAAAAAAAAAAAAAATATTCTTTCCTTTCCAAGTGCCTTTTCGTACACTGCAGTTATGCGTGTTGCTGGGGGCTTCATTTATTCCTCAGTGATGTGGA